GAACTGAACCTAAACCACGGCACCCAAGGGTGAAGCTAGAAAAGCCGGTGGTGATCGTAGGGTTTATGGTTTAGTAGCCAAAGATGCGGAGTTCAGGCTTCAGGGCGGAATCACTAAGAGCTGAGTATTAATTATTAGGGAGACTCCCACGTAGGCTCGGCAAAGCAACTCTAGACACGTCATACCCTACACCCTCATCTCTGTTCAATTCTACATCCGCCTACATTGTCCCCAAACCTGGGCACTCACCCTGAACCTCCCGAAACCCCATGCCCTGTTCAAAGCCATAGACCCTCAACCCTAGACCCTAAACCCTCAGCCCTGAATCCTAAACCCAGAACCCTAAACCCTAAACCCTGCACCCTGAACGCTAAACCCTACACCCCAAACCCTTACTTGTCCCAAACCCAATTCCTTCCAAAAACCCTAGACCCCAAACCCTAAATCCTAGACCCTAAACCCTACACCCTGAACCCTAAACCCTTAATTGTCCCAAACCCTTGTCACTCTTCCGAGAGCCTGCTGCGGACAGCCGAGGTCGTCCGGCTCGTAACCTACAAGGGGTTTGAGGCGCTTCGTGTTTTAGGCTTTAGGAGTGTAGGAACTGGAGTTTAGGATTTAGGGTTTAGGGTGTAGGATTTGGGGTTTAGGGTTTTAGGGTTGTGTCAGAGAAGGATTTGGGAGTTAGGGTTTACGGGTTAGGATTTAGGGACGCGCCTTCATAAAGTTTGTGCTTTGAAGGTCTAGGATTCAAGGTTTTCGTGCTCAGGGTCTAGGGCTTGAGCCCCTAGACCCTACACCTCTAGACCCAAGTCGCTGGGACTTCAGGATTTCCTTGCACGACAATTTAGGGTTGAGATTTTCGCGTCTAAGGCTTAGGAATTTGTGGCGGTTTAAGGTTCAGGGCTTAGGGATCTGTAGCTGCATTGGGACATCATACCCTTCAAAGTAAGCTAATAATAAGTGGCTTTCCCAAAATACGTCAGATGTTCGCGGGCTCAATCCTGCAGTAGGCTGTAAGGAAGGACCTTGACACCTGGGAACATTGTACCTCCCTGCATATGGATACCGCAGGACCTGATCATGTGTCATGCGGCAGGCCTTTTCGGCGTGTTGCGTGACAGGTTTTTATTTGGAGGCGGGGGGGCGGGGGTGCCTCGTTCAAGATACAGTTGAAGCTTTGGAGTCACTTTCCTAAGAAGGCCTACGTTCACGGAAACCTCCAGGTGGGTCGTTTTCAGATGAATACCCTCAAAGAAGGCCTATATATGGTACGGCCCTCATGTAGCCCCTTTACCCTCGCACGAGCCTGATATGAGCATTATATAGTACGCGGATACCCGCCTGGTACGAGTGACTGCCCGCCTGGGGGCACCCTTTCTTGATATGTGATTTCATTTTTGGCTCTGGTCTGCAGGGAGCGGGCACTTTGATAGGGCCTGTTCCTTGTTCAATCCTGAATCCCTTACGTAGGTGAGTAGAAAACAAACCCGCCCACTGAAAACCTCGGAAAGGACAGCCTGTTAAAAATCCATCAATCATTGCAAGCCTTGCGGGCAAGGCACATCTACCCAGCAAAAATCATGCTTGTTGGAGTTTCGGAATAGAGCTGAACATTACTAATTATTCCCCCTCGTCTTAAGGCTTACGGAAAACGCCTCTGCCTGAACCTCAAACCCTAAACGCTAAACCCTAAACTGCAAACCTCCAACACCAGAAGCCCAAAGCTCTGAGTCCGAAACTCCAAACTGGGGTTTAAGGTTTAGGGTCAACCCTATGTATACAAGCCCTGGGATCGTGAACGCTGAGCCCCTACTCCATAAGCCGTAGAACCCCAAAGGCCAGAGGCCTTTCAATTCATCAGGCTTTTGGGATACCATCCCTATATAAATCCTAATGATTGCTATGACCTTCAAATAACCCCTAACCCTCAGCCCTGAACCCTAAACCCTCAACCCTTAGCCCTAAACCTTCAGCCCTAAAC